GTGGCTGTGCTGGGTGCCCTGCACGCTACCCACCGCGGCTCCTTCCATCTCAGATACGCCACACAGCGAGGTGTGAGCATCACTGCACGCTGACCGCAGGGATGCAAGGAGTACATTTCTAGCGTGGGGTTTCTAGTTGATTTTTTTAACCTGCTCAGCAGGTGACTTGGGCCAGGCAGAGGGGTGAGGCAGGCACCTTGGGTGCTCTGAGAGGCACTAAATGCCTTTTTTTCCTTCCTCCAAGTGAAGTGCAGCGAGCTGCAAACAATCAAAACGGAGCTGACACAGATCAAATCCAACATTGATGCTCTCCTGGGCCGACTGGAGCAGATCGCTGAAGAACAGAAGCTGTCTGCAGGTCAGTTGGGTGCACACGGATGCCTCGGGGCCGGTCCGAGAACAGGCAAAGGGTGCAGGAAAGCATCCTGCAAAGCTGGCCTTGAGACCATCACAGCTTAGAGCAACCTCTGGGCTCGTGAAGTGTCAACCCCCAGGTTCCCAGGTAGAATCACAGGCCAAAATTACATGCTAAAATTCCCCAAATTATGGAATTGGGGTTTAAAATTATGAGATTTTTTTTCTTTGCCATATAGTTTGTATTTTTTTAGTTTGCTTTTTTGTTCTGTTATTCTGTTTCTATTCTATTTCTATTCTATTCTGTTCTGTTCTGTCTGCCTCCCACACTCACTCCAGAGGGATGCAGAACAATGACCTGCTCTGCCCTCTCCAGGGTTGCTTTCAGACAGCTTCCTCAAAATCAGCAAAACTTCCCATTGCAGAAAAAAACCCTAGATCCATTATTTACCTACCACCTGAATTTGGGGGGCCCACTGAACTGGTGTCGTCAGGCTCCAGACATTGCCTTCCCCAGCCCCTGATCCTGGTGGCTTGGCTCCTGTTCTCACAGAGGTACGGAAGAAGGCGGAGAGCAGCAAAAGCGAACTCTCGCAGGAGGACACGGCATCAGAGGCAGAGGTCAACACAGAGGAGCCGCTGAACGGGGACGAGGGTGAGGAAGAGGGTCTCGCACGGGATGAGTGTGAAGATGAACTGGTAAGAGAGTTTGAGTAATACATCCCTCCAGCCAAAGGAGTTCACTAGTGGACCACGGTTTTACTAAATCCCCAGAAAAAGAAGTTTTTCTTTCCTCAAAAGAAATTGTTGTATTTAAGTCCCATGATTGTTCACAGCTTGTTCCTTCAAACTGTTTTGCGGCTTGCAAAAGCCTTGACCTGCCAAATGCATGTGGAGATGCTGAAGAAACATGGTTGGCTCTTGAAATTTGGACCACATTTGTCCTTGATTTCTCAACTGTTAGTTAATGGTTAAACAAATTGCTCTGCTCCCAAGTGATTCTCAGATGGATTGACGCATATGGCGAAGACAGGCCATGTGATATTAACTGCACTGCCCTAACAACGTGCATTGGCAGTGCCCTTGCATCTGGGTGGACACCAAATGGCATAAACCTGGTTATCAGGTCTGAGCAAGCCACAACCTCTGTGCCTGGAGCTGTACATCCATAGCAAGGGCACCACTTGGGCATGGCTGACCCGATGTCATGCACACGTCAGCCCCATTGGTGTTAGTCCTGCCCCGAATAAGGACACTCCCAGTGAACCCCATGAGCAAATTTTGTACTTAAAAAGCATCCGGATGGGAGCCCTGTTCTTGGGTACCCTGATGGTAAGGGTGACACAGGGCACTGTGTTACCCCTGGCAGCACTGTCATGTAGCCCAAATCAAGACTCCTCTGAGAACAGGATCAGCTCCAGACCCAGACAAAGGGCCACAGGATGTGGGGTGGGTGGACAGCCCTGCTTGCTGCCTTCTCCGCAGGGCTGCAGCCCTGGGAAGCTGGGTGGGCTGGCGGGGCTCTCCTGGGGAGGGTTGGGGCATGTCGGGGCAGCCCCTGAGCCTGTACTGGGTGTCCTCTGCAACAGCTCCACTCCTCCCCCCCTGCAGCACTGGTGGCAGCAGAGGTGAGGGTGAAGCTCAGTGTCCTTTTCCTCTTCCTCACCCCCTCATCGCTGGGGTGACCACACCGCGTTGCACACACGCGGCACGCTGCCTATGGCCAAAAAGCTCCTCTAACTCAAAAGACTTCCCAGCTTGTTGGTACTCTTCTACTCTGCCCCACCTTAGTCATGGTGGATGAGGGATCTGAATGGGGTCTTTCAGCTGTTTCGGTTTCTGGGGCCTCATAGCTGAAGTCCGTGACTCCTGCTAAATCTAAGAAGAGTTGATTAAGGGGAGACATCATAACATATGCTATAAAGAAGAAAGGCAAAAGCTGGCCTTCATCTCTCTGTCAATTAGGATAAGGAAGGCCAGGTTTGAATTACATTAAGGGAAACAGATGGTAGAAATTAGGGGGAAACTTGCTGATGCTAATGATGATAAAGCAGCACACAGCCTGTCAACAAAAAAATGTGGACTTTTCTGCCACTAGTGGGATAAAAAAAACAGAGTGGACAGACATCTGCTGGCAATGATTTAAGAAGAGCTGGTCTTTATTAAGAGTAGATGAACAAGATGACTGTTTCAGCTCTCTTCCTTCTCTATTTTGTGTAACTCTCTGGTCCTAAAGTGGCACTGAGATCAGAAATATTTTACTGCCTGCATCAGACAGGCTCACATGTGCTCAGCATGGGGCAGGTTAATGTGTGCAGTTCATCTGCGGGGATGTTCTCTTAAACACTGCAAGGCAACTCACAGAAGCCATCTTTATATTTTGCTCCTGACCTTACAACACTGAACAGTTTTGAAGTCTTTCTGTTTCCTGGAGAGTGACTGCTTTATCCCACGTCTCTGGCTTACACACATCAGTGTAGCCTTCACCCCCTGCTGTCCATGGACATGGTGCCCACATCGGTCCCTGAAAACATTATCTACCTTTGGCTCTGAGAGGCAGTGCTGTTGCAGAAGAGTCAGAGGCCACTCAGACAGATCTGATCTAGTAGTTAGTTTATTGAGTTCTAATCAGTAAATTTAAGTGTGTAAACTGTTTAATGAGTGCAGTTGGATTGGCTGTCAATACTCTACTATTTACTGCACTTGGAGTTAGTATGGGATACAAAGATTATCATGTAAGCTTACTTTACGTATCTTAGGTGTTACAGGCATGCAAAAAATGTCACTTACCAGCCCATCATGCCTTTTCCATGTGCTTTGTCACTAGGTCCCTTGGTCCCCTACCCCACTGAGCAGTGAGCTTACCCTTTCTTTAGCCTTCCTTTTGCTGCTGGTATACCTACAGATGCTCTTCTAACTCCATCACAGCACACTGGAGGGATGGCTCTGTATTCCTTCTGGGTGGCTCACCTCTGCTTGCCATCTGCCAAGCTCTGTCTTTTCATGTAGGAAAAAGCTCATTTGGGAGCTTGCTGTTCATCCAAGCTGGCCTCCTGCCACACCTGCCCAACTATCATCAGAACGGGCCATTCTTGTGCTTCAAGGTGGGTGTCCTGGAAGATGACCCAGATGCCCCGGCCTCCTTCGTCTCCAGAGCAGTCTCCCATGGGATTTTGCCAAGCAGACCCCTGAACAACCCAAGTTCAGGGATTTGATTCTGCTCTTTATCTTGGTCACTTCTCTCAGGATACTCAGCTTCACAGTCTCAACGGTCACTGCAGCCAAGACTTCTCTCCTTCACATCTTTGACCAGTTCTGCCTTGGTCATCGGTAACAGTCTGGAAGAACGTCTCCCCTGGTCACCCAGTCAGTCAGCTGTGTCAAGAAATTGTTCTTGATGTTCTCCAGAAATCTCCTGGGTTGCTTGCACCCAGCCCTGCTGCCCTCCCACCAGATGAAGTGCCCCAGGAGTACAAGGGCCTGTGATCAAGAGGCTTCCTCCAGCCATCCAGAGGAGACTTCGTGTCAGGTGGTCTGTAGCAGATGCCTGCCATGATGTCACCGGCGTTGGTCTGTCCCCTGATCCTCACCCACAGGCTCTCAGCTGACTCAACACCTGTTCCAAGGCAAATCTCTGTTCATCTGGGCTGTTCCTCTGCCCAGAGCCCATGCCACCTCACCTGGCTTTCCTGAAGAGCCTGTTCCCAGGGCACTACCTGCTCTGTAATTGCAGAGAAGGAGCCTTTTTTTTATTGCCAGAAGTCACAAGCCTCCAGACTGCCCTGTCTTAGGAGTCTCCATCCACAGCTCCTTTGAGCATAGTCTCCAGCTGTCCCTTCTTCAGGCATTGCAAGCCTGAGGCCTTTCCCCTGTAGGGTCTCTGCAAAGACCCTGTTGGTCTCCCTGACTGTAAAAATCTATTATCTCCTCCAGTGCCCTGTAAACCAGCCTGCTGCTGACAAGGTCGGGACTGAGCTCCCTTGCCTTTCCTTTCAGATTACCTAGCATCCCCTGCAGACGTCTCCTGGATCCATTTCCATCTCTCAAATATTCACCACAAAATTTGGCCTGTGCAGGAGATAAAATACTACTGCTGAGCACCTAATTCTTTTAGTGACGCTGCATTGCAGAAGGGCTCCAGGAGGGGGACTCCCACCTTCTGTGCTTTCAAAACTACTGTTACACTGGGAGTGGTTCAGCACACCGGCACTATGATTGTGGCCTTTGAAGTGATGAATAGCATGAGTGTTATCATTCTGGATGATGAGTTCTGCTGCAAACTGGGTCCAGTTTCTGTCTTCAACAGTGGAGTCATTACATCATGCACGATTTGCTGTCGCGGACTGACTGAACCTTAGCATCGTTGGGCAGTTCCAGTAACGCAGGAACGCCTGTTCCCTGGTGCAGGCCATCCCTAGGTCCCAAATTAGCTTCTCACAGAGCTACAACGAGGCATGAGCTGTGCAAGCACATGCAGCAAACCGAATGAAAGTGCTGAGCGTGGACGTAACGTGGCCATGCAGAAATTGGGTGTTCAGTCTAAGCACGGCACCTCAGGCCACCGGCTCAAGACCTTCCCTGGGACATGCCCACTGGAGGTGCTGACTCTGGTGTAGCCTAGATCAGACAGCTGACTTTACAGAAGGGAAGGTGGATTTAATTTCATCCCGCTCCCTTTGAGGTT